GTGGGACCCTTGTGTTGGTGGTTCATCTGTGCAGGAATCTGTAAAAGGATTCTTTCCTCAATATGTATAAAATTAGGACTGAATGTTAAAATGAATGGTGTTACCTCAGTAACTCTGTGCTTAGGTGTCACATCGGCTTCCTTGTCAACAAGCTTATGTGACACATGATGCAGTGTTTAAATGGTGCCACAGAACCTTAAACAGTACACAGAACTGCATTTCCTGTTCCTCATTATATTTTAATTAAATATTGATGGACAGTTTGTTTACACCAGGCTTTTATTCTGTTAAAAAGCAATGCTATATTATGACTGGCCTTAGTGAAATAACTGGAGTAGCAAGTTGGTGATTAGCGTTGATTTCTCTTGTGACCCAAGGAACTTGATATAAAAAAAATTAATTTGTAATTGTCGATTGAGCTGTTTTCCTGGGCTGGAATAGACTTCATTTGCTTTATATAAAACTAGATTAATAACCCCAAAACACTTTACAGTATTTTATATATTTATGAACCTTATGTGTATTGTAATAAGGCGTGTGAACTGTGCTATATAGACAGTGAATAATAAAAATAATCTGCAAGCATTATGCAATTCATGTCTTTAGGTACAAGTCCAGGCCCAGGAACACTGCTTTTGATGATCTCTTAATTGCTCTCCTTTCTCCTGGTTACACTGCATTTTTTTTTTCTTCTCTGACCATCCTAAGGTTAAATTCCTAACTTTTATGAGCTTTGTATCTTAGTTCTTTGCTGAAATAATAGAATAAAAAGAAAAAAAAAAACCCACCTAAAATATGCTACAGAAAAAAAAACCAAAACAACCCAGCTGTTGTACTAGCAATTAGAACTGCCTGTTCTGTATTTTTTTTCTCGTATCTACTATTCATCATAATTTTGCAGGAAATAAATCCTTAAGTGGTAGCATAGAGTAACCTGTAATGCATGGAAAAAAAAGACAAACAAGAAACTGTAGAAACAAAATTATGACAAGGAAAAGAAGCATTTGTACTGGGGAGATGAAAGCAGTGATATAACTGAAAGTAGTTTATAATACAGATAATCTTTCAACTTCCTCTAGTGTGATATCCACAGACGTTGTATGTGGAAGCATATATATTGATCGTGAGCTCGGCTTATTAAACATCTTGTTCCATGTTACAAAATGCGCCGTAAATAATGATGAAAGGAGAATGAATTTTGAAACAGAAGCCCCACTTTGAGCTTTGTTGAAGAATTATATTCTCAGCTAGCAAGGGAAAAAACTGTTCATCAACCATAAATCTTAGTCATCAGTGAAGTCACTTCAGTAAGAAATAGTTGGCTGTCCTCCTTAGAATAGCTTCTAAGATACAGAGGAAGGTATAGAAGAATAGCTTCTAACAAGCAAAGTCACCTTTACAGTTTAGTGTTCTCTCTTAAGTAATGACCCAATTGCTAGGGAGCTGGTTTCCAGGTGCTAACAGATTCCTTAGGTGTCAGAGAGGTGCAGTTAGCTGGCATGCCAGGAAGCTGAACATTTCTAGCCAAGCAGATTGAAACAAATTTTTCTGATATAAGGAGGTGTTTTGAGGCTTCTTATAATAAGGAAAAGAAAAATGAGCATATGGTACAGTTTTAGTATGTTTGTTTGGTGGTGGTGGTGTGGGTTCTTTGTTTTGTTGCAGTTTTTTTTTGTGCTTAAGCAAAGAGAGCAAATGGAAGAGTAAAGCCTTTCTTTGAAAGGAAGGGTGCATTTTGAAGAAATGGAAAGGAAGATATTAAATTGGTATTGTTATGCAGAAATGCATACTGTTGTTGATTGGAAGGCACCTGTGAAAACCACCTGGTCCAACCTCACTCAAAGAAGGGAAAACTAATGTGTGGTTGTTTGCAACAGCCTTGTCTAGTAGACATTTGGATATGTCCAGGGGTGAAGATTCCACAGCCTGTCTGGGCAACTGTGCTGGTGTGTGACTAAACTCATGGTGAGATTTCTTAATACCCAATCAGTTCTCTCAGGCTTTCCTTGCGTGCCATGTGCTCCAGCTTCCCACTCATCTTGGTGATCATCTGTTGGACTTACTTCAGTATTTCAATGTCTGTCTTGCCCTGGAAATGCCAAAACTGGACATTGCGCTCCAGGTGGAATCTCACAGGTGTTAAATACAAGGGAGTAATCTCTTTCCTTGACCTGTCTCCTGCACTGTGGCTAACACAGCCCGGTCCATGCTTGGCTGTCTTCATCACAAGGATAAACTACTAGCTCGCGTTCAACTTGTGAACTTTGCTTTTCTGCAGAGCACGTGTCTAGCCAGTGGATGTCCAGCCTGGGGTTATTCTCTCCTGGCTGTAGGATTTTTGCTTTGCCACTGTTTTACTGCTGCTGAGCTTCTTGAGGCTCCTGTCACACCTTTTCTCCAGCCTGGAGGTCTTCCTAAAGGCCAGCTCTTCCCCCAAAGCTATTGATTAGTCCCCTGAACTTAGTTCATTTGATCCATAAATCTATTCACATGGTTGATGCCTTGTGCTTGACTGATTACTCAGTTACTTTTCCTGGTATAGTCTTAGCCTGAGCTCTGTATATAATTGAAATGTTTCATTTTCTCTGGTTGATTAACTAAAACCCCAAAAAACAGGACCACCACCCCAAGCTCCCACTGCTTTTTTATTAGTGTTCTGTGTTAAGCTTCCTCTGTGAAAACATACTGCGCCTTTCTGTGTGAGTCTCCTTTCCTGTCTGTAGCTTCCCATCAGAGTTGACATGTTAAGCCTAGAAGAAATTATGGTGGTTATTTAGATATCTGGGCTGTTGTTTAGGGGCTTACAAAGGCAAGTATGATAAAGCTGAGCAAGACTTTGAATTAAAACCAGCAAAAAAGTCTTGACAATTTTCACTCTGGTGGCCACTATATCTTTTTCTGTGGCATCTTAGCTCAGGTTTCAGAATGGGAATACAAGCTGGTTGGGTATCCTGAGCCCTCCCTGCAACATGAGCTTTGTGCACATGAACTAGCACTTGCAATAAATTGTGTAAGATAAGTTCAGTCATGGTTTGTTTTAGGGTGGTTTTTTTTTTGTTTGTTTGATTGGTTTCTTTTTGTCAGTGAGTTCTCAATAGATCACAAATATTATGTCCACTGTTTCTAATTGGATTTTTCATCATAAATCATGTTTGGTGGGCTTACGCGGCATGCTGCTATTTGGGGACTGGCACTGGGACTTAATGGCTGTGCTGGCCTCTGACAAGTTCTTTGGTTTGTTTAGGAGAGAAGTAACAGAATCATTTATTTGTAGGAGAATTTGAAGATTTTATTTTCTGCTACTGCTTTTCCTTCCCTGTCATGACAACCATTTGCTTCAAGCAAACTAAACTAGGTTACTTCCCACCTCTTTTTCAAACTGCTCATGCTAATCTGCCTGACTGCCTGAAGCAGTTAGAGGGTGCTCACAGGAACCTCATTGCTGACAGTGGTGTGGCACAGCTGACACAAACCTTAATGTCATTAACAAACAAAATTGGTCCCTGTTATCCGGTCACCTGCAAGTGCTCACTTCTCTTTTAGGTCCATCACTGCAGTGCTGTTGCACTGCTTGCAAGTCAGTAGCTATGCCTCTCTTGCTGAAGCTGTTAGTATATGAGCTAGTGAAATTAAATCTGATGTGGCAGCACAGGTTGCAGTCTCAATTCTTACTGCAGTACAGATGCTTCTTCCAGGTAGAATACAATATCCGCACAGGGAGTTTGTATACAACAGCTGGGGTGTATTATTCATGTCCTAGTTTATTTTCAGCAGCCTTCTAGTTTAGGTAAACCCAAAGATGCTGCAAATGCAGATATAGTTAGTGACATCAGTTGCAAACAGGTTATTCTGAGACTAGCACAGCGATCAAAACAGCACAAGACTTTGGCCTTCTTTGCAAAGGATTAGTGCAAATTGGATGTGTGTGACTTTAGATTAGGTACTTCTGACTAGCTCCTGCTGTTGCATACACCTTTCTCACAGTAAGTGACTTATTTCAAATTAACTGAATACATTTTTGAAGAAAGGTAAGCTGCTTCTGAGAAACCACTCTTAAGCTCCAGTAGGTCTTTCCTACTGGGAATTGGTCTAATACACAGCCATTCCAAAATAAAGCTATGTGGAAAGGATCTTATCTTTAATTCAGACTGTGCATTCAAGAGAAGGGTTGAAGTGTCTCTGTCATGATGCATGCACTTTCTGAATTAAGCCCCAAATAACCTGTTTCGTAAATGTTCATTATCTCCCAGCTTACCAGGAAGAGGTAAAATTTCTACCCACCTTCTTGCTGTGGCCTTTGAACCATACTGTAACCTTCCTCAACAGGGTACTTGGAGAATTGTGTTGCATAGGGTATTTAGGTGGTGCAGTAACTGGCACGTGTGAGGAGGAAGGTATTGCTGAAACACTTGTACTCAAGTAACCCTGCACCGGCAAATCTGATTTATATTAACCTGGATGCCAGTGAGCTTCAGTTAAGGGATTTTTTTCCCAAACCACTGTGCGACGCAGTTAAGAAAGGACTGAACTGTTCTAAAGCACATGAGCTGATGAGGGATGCTGCACAGCCAGCAATGTATCACACTATGTCTTAGCTCTTTTTGCTCAGTTATGCTCCTGTTTGTGTTGTCTTCACTTGCTGTGGAACTAATGATGCTTATATGGTACCATACTGTTTTCTTTGTAAAGGTTATGGTCAGGACTGAAACTATACACATAAAGTATATCTGTTGCATTCCCACCTAGTAAACACAATAATGCCTGAGTCAGAAGGGAGTTGAATAGATGACTGCACCCTGTCCCAGTAAAACAGATGTGATATCAGATAGAAAGTGCAGCTATTCACTGTTATATGTGTCTAAGCACACTCTTCTTGGCAAACTGATTTGATATTGATACCTTGCTCATTTTTTCTTTGTCTTTCTGAGTCCAGAAAGTGAAAGTATAATTTTTCATATTTGAATCTAGCCTTAACTTAAAATATAATCCTCTCTGTTCAGGTGAGTTATGCCTGGGGATTCCTAATGATCACAACAGGCAGAGTCTCTTCAGTAAGTCTCTTTTAAAACTTATGGTCTCAGTCCTGAAGTTTACTTTTGTTGCAGCCAGTGCTGTTTTAATCATCACTAATTCACAAAATGTAATGTTAACTGAAAAAAAGGTACTTTTTCTTCACATAGTTTACACTAAAACAGACCTAGCAACTTTCACCCCTCAAAGAAATACCCCTTTTACAGTCAGTTCTATTTGGTGGTGGTTTATTTGTGCTATAATTTTGCCTGATTTGAGGACTGACTATTTTACTGGACACAGCTTTATAGAGAACTGTGATACTTGTATGAAGCAAATTGGTAAATGTAATAGAATAAATGTGATTTATAAACATTTTAACAGCTAGTTTAAACCAAGCTGTGCTTGATAAGATACTAGAAATTATACAGTATAGATCTTCAGAATCAAAGAATATCCCTGGCCTTTGTAGCTTGCTGGATTTCTATTTTTAGAGAGACTTTAACTCCAGTATAATTACAGTCATACTTCAGAAAACATTATTGTAAGTGCAATGTACCAAGCTGGCCAAGGCTTTGAAGTGTGTCTGCCTAGATGTTCACTCGTTAACGGACTCCCCAGAGACAATGACCAAAATGGCTTTTAAACCCCAAAGGGCCAACTTGTATTAGAATTTTACTTAGGAAGAACTTAGTTTTTATAATGGGGGGGGGGGAGGAGTGAATAGGTAGGACAGGTTAGATAGAAGGAAAATTCATAAATAGTGAATAAATTCATTCATAGTAGTGTCTTGGAGGCTGGACATCACTGACCCTGAATAAAATACACTATATCCTAAAAGGAGACCTACTTCTCCATTCTTCTGCTGGGTTCCCCAAGACCAGTCATTTCTTTTGACATTAATATGTACACAGCCTGAGAGCAAGAAATGAAACGGTGTCCATCATAGTAAAATTATTAGAAGTTGAGATTTCTTCAATAGAGTATGCGGTTGTAAATCCCTTGGTTTCATTCTATTAAAGCTATATATCTAACAGATTAAATCATAGTAGCAGTAGGATGTAAGTTGTTTAATTTTTGACTGGCACACAAATAAATGGCTGTAATATGCCACCTGTGATGAATAATCTGCGCTAGACTTTCAAATCTGAGTATTTCTTTTCTGTCAATTTAAGTGAACTGAGATTTTTTCTTTTATTTCTTTTTAAACATTTGTGTTTCTGTTCCGAGCTGCACTGACAGACCCTAGTAGCCACATTCCTTCTCATACTGATTTCAAAGAAAAAACTACCTGTGTTCACTGTCCAGTTATATTATCCCCAAGCTTCCAGATGGATTTTGTTCCAATAGAAACAAATTCTATTATATTTTCTAGGTGCATGTGATTCCTTATTGCACTGAAATCAGTATGTTTGTTTCTGGATAGTCTTCTTATGGAAGTCTTCTGGATAGTCCTCCCATGCAAGTCTAGCCAAACAAGTGAGACTGGGTTACCTTTGTCATTGAAAAGTCACTTTTTCGTTAAAACTAATGCTCATAATGAAAATTGACCAGCCCTTCCACCATAGTGGTCTCCTTTTGCTTATGTCTATTATACATTTGCTTCTAAATTATTTTGGTATTACCTTTGGTGTTTTTGTTACCATTTTAACATTTTCAAAGTGTTTAATTTCATTGATTTTCATCTGGGATGCTTGTGTTACCAGCATTACTACTTACCATGCAATGGCAGTTGCATGCATTTTACGTAAACTTGTACGTTTATAGGAAGTGTTATTCCAGGTCCGCTTCAGGTTTTTATGTAATTTTTTCAATAGCACATTTGTAACAAAAATCTGGAAGACTATAAGGAGAAACAAAGAATGTGATAGTAACAATTCTAAATGAAGTTTCTTTTAAGCAGATGGGGTTTAAATCTACAATAGATCAATTAATTATACTAATTAAGAATTAGGTTGTGCTTTTAGAATAATATAAAGTTCTGTCATACATCCCAAAATGACTTGTCAAAGATTATCCCCAAAAACATTTGGTGAGATTGATCAGACATCAGAAATTATATAATAGCTGTTGGAATAAAAATAGGAGGTAACTGGCCAGTTGGTGTTCAAGAAAAAAGAAGGGGGGGGGGGGGGGGGTTCAAATTAACAGACTTAAAAAAAAAAAAAAGAGAAAAAGAAACTGTCAAAAAGCAGACCCTCAATTCTGCTGTAGGTCTTCATAATCTTTTTATTAAAATGCATTTATGCTTCTTTTCATATGACCTGGGAAAGGATACTGTGGACTGAGGCATATGTACGTAAACTAACAAGAAATGGAAAAACAGATTAGAGAGACAACGTTGGCCTTTCATTGTCCTTAAATTCAGGTCAGCTTTGTAAGTCATAGCGAGCTAAGTCGCAGCACTGTGTGTCTTTAGCATTAGTTAAGAAAGCTCCATGCTGAAAACTGAAGTAGACATAGCAAACAATATTTTTCTCAAAATTACTACTGCATTGTCAATATCAATGAAACCTTCAGGTCAATAATTTTGATTTGAAGGTCTAGTTTAGATTCAGGCAACTGAACCTATGTGGATATTGGGGGCTGGTGGGAGGCTTTTTGCTGTAGAGTTGGCTCCCTTCCTTTCACTGTTTACCTCCTCCTTATTGTTTTTAGAAATACCACTGCCAGTTACTGTTCAGTAACAGCACCGTGAAATTTGAATTCAGTGTTTGGTATTCAGCCTATGATTCCTTGTAAGATAAACTTGTTTCATTTTGTGGGTAATTTGGAATGTTTATTCTACATATACAGCTGCTGAAATGTGTCATCCATTTACTGTTCAAATTGACTTCATGAATTTTCATTTATCAATGAAAGCATGCCACATTCGGGCATAGAAATTTGCTGGCATTGTTGACTGCACACAGGTGTTGTCCTGACACGGTGTATTAACACTTCATATCTTCTACTTGTGAGACAAATGAAATGTCAGACAGCTTATAAAATATAAGCACACTTGTTTTCATCATATTTGAACTTTGTCAGGTTGACTGTTTCATGCTGGTGTATTTCTGTATCTAAAAAGTGGTCATCTTCATAGATCTATGTATCAGGAGGTTGAATGATACATTTGTTTTCTGCCCTTATATCTAAGGATACATAAACCAATCTTAGGTGTACTAAGGTATATTTTTCAAACTTCAGAACATTTACTGGTTCTATATTTTTATGAAGATTTGAGCTACGTGCCTTGAGGTGATATGTGACCATAATCTGACTGGGTTTTGTAATATCTTTGTTTTGTTGTAACATGATTCTCCAAGTGTCCTGAGGGCTAAAAATACATACGTCACGTGGGATCTGTGGGTAAATACATGTCCCAGAACCAAATAGGCTTAACTGGAAACAACCTGCAAACAGGTCCCAACACAGTAAGGTTGCATGACCTAGCTGATTGTTTGTCAGAGTATGGGGCAAAGAATGAATTATCTCTTACAAAGCTAAGTATATACAGGGGTATGTAAAAGCAATATTAACTCTGCTTTATGTATATAAGGAACAGGCAACTAGCAAAATCAAGAGGGACTTCTCGTTATGTTGCCATGGTTTAACCCTGGCTGGCAACTAAACCTCACACAGACACTTGCTCATTCCCCACCTGTGGGATGAGGGAGAGGATTGGAAGGGTAAAAGTGAGAAAACTCACAGGTTGAGATAAAGACAGTTTAGTAGGTAAAGCAAACGCTGCACACAGAAACAAAGCAAAATGAAATTAATTCACCACTTCCCATCGGCAGGCAGGTATCTGGGGACATGTCCAGGAAAGCAGGGCTCCATTACATTTAACAGTTAGGAAAACAAACATCATCACTCTGAACATCCCCCCTTCCTCCTCCTTCTCCAACAATTTATTGCTGAGCATGACACCATATGGTATGAAATACCCCTTGGTCAGTTGGGATCAGCTGTCCAAGCTATGTGTCCCCCAACTTCTTGTGCATCCCCAGCCTACCTGCTGGTGTGGTGGTGTGAGGAGCAGAAAAAGCCTTGGCTTTTTGCAAGCACTGCTCAGCAATAACTAAAACATCCCTGTGTTATCAGCGCTGTTTTTAACAAAAATCTAATACATAACCCTATGCTAGCTACTATGAAGAAATTTAACATTTTCTCGGCTAAAACCAGCACAAATGTCAACACAGTATTAGGAAGGCCATTCGGCTCTCCGCTAGTAGTGTCGTAGTATTCAGCTGAAGTAAATGAGCATTAATTCATACATCTCAATGAAATCTCATTGAATCTCAATCTCAAAATAAAAATATTTTACAATGAATTGTAAAAATGAATAATTAAAACATGAAAGGTGTGAGGGAGTTACATTAACAGCAGAGTTAAGAAGCGGAGGACAAAGTTCTCTTGATTCACAGAATAATGCCCTGGCTACTGGGCTATGGATTAGTTTTCATAGAAACTGAGTCATGTGCAAAAGTTGTATGAACCATAAGAGAAAGATTTTTGGAATACCTCAGAAGTTATTCCTGACTCCTCTTCAAATTTTCTCACCTTCACTCTGTGGGATTCACAGTACTGATGAGGTTTTCAAATCCCCAGCCATTTATTTCAGTTGCGGAGCAAAAGTAATGTGGTTTTAATTATAAGACCAGTTGGGCACTTTAGAATTCAAATTCAGAATATCACATGCTTACAGACATTATCCTGGTGGATTGCTGCAAATTTACAAATTTAACTGCTCCTTCACAATAAATACAGTTTCCAGCAAACTGCTGGAAGAGTTTCCTGAGACAATGTTCTTATCTCTTTCTGTTTCATTGATCAAGATGAGATTTTCTTCTGTTATTTTGCCTAAATCTTTCTTGAGCTCATTTGTAATACTCTAGAAAATCCTAATGTAACCAGGCTGTTTGGTTACACTCCGTTAAAAGAATATTTAGTTCTGTTTGCTTTAAGCCCAGTGCCTGGTATTTTTGATCTGATGACCCTTAGCACTTCAATTATCATCAGTGAATAGTCGATGCCTATTCACTTGCTGCACATTGGCCTTTGTTTTATGGATTTCTGTTGTACCCTTTTATCATTCCTTTTCCTCTCTGTAGTATCTAATTATGTTCCTTTAGTTTCTTTTACACAGAAGTGTTTCTTTTTCTAATAATAGTGTATTTGTGAAATGCAGAGAAGCAGACAATTCTGAATTTGAGCACATTATTGATGTATGCTATGGTATAATGATCTCGGTTTTGTTCTGTGTGTATTTCCTCATATTCTATTTTCTTCCTGGTCACCAGTGAGCGTTTTGCCATTTTTTTTTTCCTGCAGAACTATCTACAGTGACTGTAAGACCTCTTCCTTGAGGGTAGTAAGCTCATTTGTTACTATGCATACAGTCAGGGTTGTTCATTACATATATTTACTGTCACTGAATTTCATCTCTTGTTTTATTGCCTGGTTGCTCATCACCATGAGATCTTTCTGCAACTTCTTGCAAAGTCATGGAGATTTAGAGCACAAAGGCAATGTCAGATGCTAAACTATTTACTGTCTTAAATACAAAGATTATACATACAGTAATGTGTGTCCTTTCATGTCAGATTTTCTATAGAGCTTTCTGGATGTGGACACAGTTCTTGTTTAGCTCCCAATACTGCTGCACAAGGTATTAATTTTTTACTTTTACTGTGTACAGCTCTTTCTGTACCTCTGTATTTATCATCAAAGATTGGTTTGAGAATTTGATGGGAGAAACTTTTACAGGCATAGTTTATACACTGGCCACCAGGCAGGATATTTTGTAGCCTCTGAAGAGCTTTGGGAAGTATTATATCAGTGTGAAAATTGCTGTAATCAAGGCTGTGGACCTTGCTAACTCCCATCTGCCTTAATAACAAGGGGATTAATAATGTGTCAGGCACTGAAGTAAAGGTGAAACACATCATGATAACAAGGAAAAAAGAAAACAATAGTGTATGAAGTAAATTTTAGTAAGTTGAAGGGTGAATATTACATCTCTGCTTTGGGGAAACAGATGATCTGATAATGTCAAACAAGTGTCATGTCTCACAAGCTCTCTACTGATATCACATTTTGGGAAACAGGAGCAAGAACAATTTTCAAGATCATCCTGTATTTTAGCTAGTTGCACAGAAGACTTACACAGAAAAAGAGCTTGAAGGTGACTCCGCAGTAACAGCAAAATATAATTCAGGGGAAATTTTTAATACAGGGAATTATTTCTGTGTTAAAGTGAGTATTTAATTTATATGAAGCAGCATATATTTGGCAAGATAAGTAGATTTAGTGTCATCATTTTCCCCAGAAGACATCTTATGACATTTTACTTTGGCAATTCCTCCCCACCCCAAATCTTCAGCTACAGTGAGCAGTTTTTCTTCTTGATTATGAAGAAGGAAAACAGTCCCCTTACTTTGGGCAGGAACTGACATCCACTTAACTGGAAACTCATATGTAATTCTTCTGAATTTTCATAGTGATCGTTCTCCTCTGAGCATGATGCAACTTTTTCCCACAACTGCCATAACAAAAGAATCTCTTC